GTAACCTTGAGAATAGCATGTGCAGTGCATGAACTAAAGAAAGTACCTGTTCTCGTATAAAACAAAATGGGTTTAATCCTAGTATACGGTACCATGAAGGTTAGAATTAAAAAAATATGTATTGTAAAGAAGGAAAACCTCTCTGCAACAGACGTGGCTCAGTTCCATCATAGCGGGAAACAGCTGTGCATGCGCGATATATCTGTCGCCAAAGCTCGAAACCGATGTCGAAGTTCGAAGGTCACGTTATCAAGAGTTCATAAAATGAATGTCGTTTAAAATTTCTTTAAACTCACTTAAAGGAAAAGAAAATATTTTTTGGCGCAAGTAAATTAATTCATGGATTAGTTATTTTGAGGGGGGGGGGGGAAATCTACGAAAATCTGTTTTTAAAATTATTTTCGAAAAATCCAAGAAAAAACGTTCTTTGATAAAACGTTCTTCTTGGATTTTTCGCCAATAATTTAAAACGGATTTTCGTAGTTTTCTTTTTTTGTCAAAGAACGTTTCTTCTTAACACGTGTTTCTCAATTTCCTGTACACATCGCGGAGAATGAAATTCTGGCTGCCAGGTTCCTTCGCGAAATCCCTTGGCAAAATTTCCCTCCGCATTTTACGTAGACGTTGTTTGGTTAGAATAATCTCCACGTATGGTACAGAGGGATTGGGCGACATGATAATGAGCAGTAAACGGGTCATTTTGTTCTTGGCGACAGTTTTCAAAATCATGTGAAAGGCCGTATCGTATACTAGGATTTTACCGCAAAATCTTTTCTCTCTCTCTTTTTTTTTTTTTTAAATAAATACCTTGTCATTTTGCAGTAAATAAAAAAATAGTAATCAATCATCTAGGATAACCATGTAATATAACTATATTCACTAAAATATCGTTGATTATTCTTATTAAAGTTTTAAGTAATTATTTTTATGTTATTCATATCATTTAATGTTGTTTCTTCCCTTGAAATTTATTTATCATTAGTAAATAATATTTCCAAATTTCAGGAAATTTTCTCTGGCATAATCCTGAAATTAATTCTAACAGTATGATGACATCACGAAATTTAATGCACATATTTTTTCTTTATGTATGCTGCGAAATAAATATAAAATACCTCAATTTAGTAAAAAAATATCATTAAATAGATTTCTTTCTTTCGTTTAGCTGCAGAATGTCTGCAAAAAAAGCCTTATTTTATTCCAGATTTGGCAGATTCTAATCTCAATCTTCAGTGGAGAAAACAACTCCTATTATAATAATATTTGTGTTTTCAAGTGTTAAGGTGCCTTTTAAGAATACACCTCACACAAATTAAATTTACCTAAAATGTAACCTAACTTTTAGCATTGCATTGTGATTTATAAGAACTGGATTAGCCTCGTGTTGAACTGGGGATGATCATGAATAATAATTAAATAAAATGTACAGTTGTTATCCAATGTATATATCTTAAATTTTATTAAGTTTTTTAAGCAGAAAAGTAAACAAAATTATCAAACAAAATGTACGAAGAATAATTAAGAATAAATGTCCTCTGGGATTTATTGAATAATTAAGTGAATTTGCTACACAGTACAAGTAATACCATAATTAATTTACCTGTTAGCACAGCCAACGTACATTACGCGGATAGACTGGAATTTTCTCGAAACATACCTGGAAAACCTGGAAAAGTCAGGGAATTTCATTCTCCTGTTTGAGTGGCAACCCTGTAGTAATTAAAAATTACATTGTGCAATATTTAAAAAATCGTTTTGTGTAACTGTTTTGTCAATAAGTTTTTTTTGCCAGTTCAAATTTAAAAATTAACAGTTACGAAAACAGATTTTAAGCTGAAATGAAAAATTCTTATGTCCTTAAATCATCAAACTAAATTTTTGATTTAATTATTGGTTTAAATAATTATGTAAAGTAAAAGTTGTATCTAAAAACAAATTTTAAATATGCATTTTACTTGTTTAAATGCATATATATGAAGGACTTAATTTTTCTAAATTACTAAGCAAAGATTCATAGACTTACTCAAAGGATTTTCTGTTTTCTAAGGAAAAACTTGCTTGTATTCACATCACACAGAAGAAAAACATCAAATTCTTTGCTATTCAGCTGCTGGAAATATAAATGTGTACATGAGTAACTAGTACTACTGTTTTGAATTGCTAATTCATCCACTAGGTTTTGTACAAATTCATCTTTATCCCAAAACAAATTCTTAAGTTTTTCATCATGATAGCAGTATGTTTTCATTTTAAGAGATCATTTCATGCATAGATTGTTGCAATATGACTTTCAAGTTATTTAGAATTAAGTTGTCATTAATATACCCCTTTCTTTCAGTTGACAACCAAACATACTCAGTTGAATTTAGATAGCTGTTATAAAGAGTGAACTACATAATACTATGTTCATTCTTTATAATATTACAGTTTTATACATTTTTTTTTTTTCCCTCAGAAAGTGTGAAAAGTTTCTAAGACTTTTCAATTATTGTTGATGACACCTTACCACAGTTGAGCCGTGTAATGTGTAATAGGTTGTATCCTTTAAGGTTAAACTTTGCAAACCCATCCGTGTACCTTCTCCTCAAATAACCAGATCAGTTAAAGTTGACAAAAGATTTTTGTAATAATTTCTACTTCAAAACTCCTTGACCAATATGCTGACATTTGGAGGTAAAAATGTAGCCTTTATTTGAAGTTTAAAAGTTTTTATGAAAGTTGAAAACTATGAAAGATTTGCTAAAGAAATATTCTGCAGTATTATACATGATTTGGTGTGCATGAGATTTCGGCTATCCTTTTTTAAACTAGAAATGTGTTTCTGAAAGTTTACAAACATGTTTAAGAGAAATGAGAACGTATAAAACTTAAAACATTGACAAGCATTATGACTATGCTCAAAATTTTCAATGAACTCTTCTGGATGATGTGGCAGGCACATGATTAAGGGAGAATTGTATTTTACTGCTGCTGAATAAGGTCAGGAATTATTCTTGCACTTTTGCGAGTGGTGGGAAAGTTTGCTGATCTAAATGAATTTGATAGAGGGCAGGTTGTAATGGGCCGAAGACTTAGAACAAGTACCTCCAAAACTACACTACTGGTAGGTTGTTCACAATCTGCTGTTGTTAGTATTTATGCAAAGTGGATATATGATGGGGAAACCAGCAGTAGACACCAAGGGGTTAGACGGCACACATAATTAAATAAAAAGGACATTGGTGATTGTCCCACTTGGTACAGCATAACTGGTACAAGACAGTGGCTCAACTGAAAGCTAAATCAGTGCAGGTCCAAGTGTTTTGGAATACACAGCTCAGTGGAATCTGTTGGATATGGGACTGTGCAGCAGATGTCCCTCTTGTGTGCCTTTGTTGATAAAGTATCATTTTTAATTATATCTACATTAGGCCTAGGAGCATCGAGACTGGACCATAGATAAGTGAAAGACACTTGCCTGGTCAGATGAATTGCAGTTTCCTGTTCATGATGTTAATGGTTTTGTCAGGTTCACAGTCTTCCAGGTGAACAGTTCCTCCCTCCAGTGCAGCAAGCCATTTTCAGGAGAGTAGTGGCAGTATTATGCTATGAGGCATGTTCTCATGGGCAGCTCTGGGAGCGTTAGTTATGGGAGAACAGATAAATTTGTAAAAAGTGATAGAGTAGTTCAAATTAGTGGATTAAACTTCGGTGTATGGTCATGGTTGTTGATATATAGTCTACGTACATTTGCTGTTGTAGGAATGAGTATTTTATTTGTTCTAAGGAAATCTTGGAAAAATGCTTTATTTCACTTTTTTTAAAATTTCTTTTTATAGACCTCTGTAGGACACTGTTATTTATCTTGTTTGTGACCATGAAAGCTGCAGATTATCTGAACATAATTGCAGACCCTTACATGGCATCTGTCTTTCCAACTTAAAATGGAATCTTCCAGCGGGACAGTGATGCATGTTATAAGGCTTGAATTGTGTGGAGTGGTTCGAGGAACACAAGGATGAATTTCTTTTAATGTCCTGGCCACCTAACTCATCAGATCTTAACCTTATAAAGTACATTTGGGATGCCAAAGAGCAATTCAGAGCTCGTATACCACCATGTTGGGATATCTTGACTTTGCGTGACCTCTCTGCTTAGACATTTGGTATAACCTGTGTCCAGTCATCTACCAAGAACTTTTAGGATCCATACCAAAGGCGAGTTGCAGGTATTTTGGAGGCCAAAGGTTGTGCAGCGTGCTATTGAATAGGTGGTCAAAATGTTTTAGCTCTTCATTATATATAAAATTGAAACAAATGGAATTAAAAGTAATATAAATGAGTGGAAAATGTGAGCAACTGAAGTAAAACCGAGCTGATGAGTGATAAACTCTTTCCGATGGTCAACATAAAATTTTCCAGATATATTTATTTATTTTTAAGAAAATTTTCTGCTCTTGAAACCAGCAAAAGAATCTTCAGTTCAGTAGCACACTTGAATAACACATTGCCTGCATAGGTGTTGCTTTAGTTGATAATTATAGTTGATTAGTGTGCAATTTTTTTCAGCTCTTGTTTATTTGTTTGGCAACTTTTTGTAGTTTGATCGCAGATCCAGTGATGCTTTTTTTGGTGGTATTTTATATTAAATCTTCCAGATCTTTTATGCATATATAGGTGTTAATAAAATCATACGTTAAATTATAGATCATATATTTTAAATTATGTGCACTTGCAAATTTTGTTGGAAAATTTTACTTTTGATTTTCAGAACAGCCATTATAAATTTCATGAAGTTATGAATTTTTACTGCACGAAGAAATATAAATCAAAGTATTGCTTATATAATATGCTGTATCAAGTAGTGATCTTGTTTGTAATTTAACTGCATATTAATTTTCCCCCAGTCTCAAAGAAGCATTTCAATTCTTTTGGAAATAATATTTAAAGTGTTAATGTTTCATTTTAATTTTCTAGAATTTCTCTTTTCCCATTTTAATGCTATTAATTAATTTTAGGTTGTATGAATGGTATGATCCCTCATCTACCAGAGTTGATACCATATTTGATTTCCTGCTTATCAGATAAGAAAGCTCTTGTCAGGTCTATAACGTGTTGGACTCTTAGTCGTTACTCACATTGGGTTGTAGGTCAGCCACATGATTCCTATCTGAAACCATTAATGACTGAGGTAAATAAAATTTGAAAAAAATTCTAATTAGTAAATTTTTCAGTTACATTCATTACATTATTTTTTTTATTGTTCATTGCAAGTTTCTGTTCAGTTTTTATTTCACAGTTTGAATTAAGAAGATTGCTGAAATTTAAACAAAAATAGCAATTAAGATAATGTCTATAATTGAACAACTAGGAACTGGGGGGGGGAATTGCTGTCTTTCATCTGTTTTAATCTTTGATGAGAGTTGTAATTTTTTTTTAAACTGGTCAGAATTGTTTATTGGTTAAGAGAATGTTGTAGCTGATGAGTATTTGAGAAATTAAATGACATTTTAGTATTTTATGAAATTACGTCTGTAGTATGTTTTAGGAAATTATGAAGCAGTACCAAAATAATAAGAACTTGATTTATAAAAATGTATAGAGTCAATTTGTAATTTCATGAAGTTTAAACTGTGAATGGAGTCAGAATATCAGAAACACTTAAATTTAGAGTAAAGTGAAGTATTTAACCCCTTATATATTTATATAAAAAATACGATGGCTTTGCTCTTTGCGAACCAGCAACCTTTAATTAACTTTCTGCAATTTAGGAGCTTCCCCTAGACCAGTACTTTCTAGAATATGCTAGCCTATTATGTAACCGCTACTATAAATACTGAGTATGTGCCATTTTTCAGTCAGACTGCTTCCTAATATCGCTGCTACAAGACTCTGCACTGCTCTGTCCATCTTTCTTTCCTTTGTTAGAAATAATGATGACGCAGAAAGTTTAAATTCAATCTGTGGTGGTAATAGCCGAGCTTCTGTTGTGAGTCATGCTGATTATTATTTTATTTCACAGTTTAACTTATTCCGTTTAACATAAAATTTGCATATGCCTCTGGACTGAGCGAGTCTTTGACAAAATGAGGCATAAAAGAAAGAATCAGTATAAAGGTATTGGCACAATTTAAATAAAAATCCATTAATCTTCTTTAAAATATGGGCTACTGTTATAAATGTAAATATAAATATTTCAAGAAATTTTATAATTTAATGCTAATTACTTGAAAAAATTGTGAAGTAATTTTTTTTGTAATTAAGTTAAATATTAGATTATGTTTAATAATAATATATCCTACTTGCAGATTAATTTTATTATTACAAACTGCAAAAGGGAAGTTTGCAGCAGAGTTTATAGTAAGATATTAAAAACACACCATAAGGCAGTAACTGTAATTTAATTTATTACCTCTTATGTCAATTAAATAGTTAAAGGTATGCCATTTACTAATGTGCAAGTCACTTTCCATTGTGTGGATTACTTTTTGAATATGATGCCCCCTCTGCACAACACATTCATCTAGGCGGCGTTGGAAGCTTCCCATAACTCGGCATAACATATTTCCTGGGACGTTGCCAATGGCAGTTGTGATGCGATCCTTCAACTCGGTAATGGTGGCACAAAGTGTTCGGAAAACTTCTTGCTTCAGGTAGCCCCAAAGTCTGCACATGAAAGATCAGGTGAGCGAGGTGGCCAGGAAATTTCACCAAAACGAAAAATTACTCTACCTGGACATGTCTGTCGCAATGATCCATCCATCTGAAACTTTTCCATGACGTCCCAAGTTGAAATGTTGCTGAAATATACGCTGGGTAGCAATAACAGACTAGTTATTCTTGAAATAACTTAACAGCAAAGGCACGATGCTGTGCATTCCTCTGATCCATATTACTGTCACACTCGAAATGGCAGCTCATTAGTACACGAATGCGACACGCCTTCATGCACTATGTCACAGTCCTACGCAAGTCAAATTACGCCATGAATGCTGCCGCACCCTGTATTATTTCAAATTTCTTCTCAATGCTCATATTACTAAAGAAATACAATTATTAGCTTTTCCTGTAAATTCTAAATGCAGTTAGTTTTTTAGAATAATAGAAATCCTTAATTAAATCCAAAAATTCAAAAATGATAAGGAAACGTATTGAAGAAAGAAGCTGATACATAAAGAGAAAGAAATTGTTCTTCAAAGATATATGCAGTTATTATTTTGTAAATTAAACAGCTGTTTATAAATTCAGCCTTTACTGTAACTTACTCCCCCACTAGAATTCATTTAGATAGTTTTTAAACTGAGGTTTTTTGATTGTAAGACAGTGTTTCTGGCCTCCACTTTCACACTGCATTAATTCCTGCCAGCTGTGATGATTTGTAATTATTTGTCTATGCGTTATCGTTCCCGGCATTTGAATTTGTTACGACAATAGAGTTACTGAGTCAACTTGGATTAAAATTAAATTGTGTAGTCTTTGACTACTAGTTGACATTTTTAGTTTGAATTTGACTGTTCCTGTTTAATTACATCACCACAAGCTGTAGTATATTTTGCTAGCATAAGAACATGCCTTTATGTTCTAAGTTCTTTTTAAATAAGAGACTTATTTAAACCTTTATCGACTGTAGTTACTTTCAGACATAAGAATAATTTGTTTCACGTCTGTCAGTCGTTTTGGACTATTTAACTTTTACCAGATCAATGAAAATCTCATTAGGTGCATTATCGGGAGAATCTCATTAGATACATTATCAGGAGATTGACAAGTTAGGAGATAAAGCATGTAGAAATTAGTGGGTACACTGGTTTGCATATTGAAACAAGTTTCTAAATTGGAAAAGATTCTTAAAGAGAAGGAAAGATCAGAAGATTAAATACTTAAAGAGAAGGAAATTAATATAAATTAGCCAGAATGCCTGGGAAGGATTCAAATAAAAAAGGTGCATAAATATTTTGTCGAGTGTTGTTGCTACAAAATATGAATGATTTGTAGCTTTTAATGTGTAATTATCCTAATATCATTTAAGAATCAATGTCATAAAGTACATGATAGTTTCATTAAATTCTACAAGTACTTTTTGAGTAATTATCATTTTCGCTATTTTTCCTTAATTAATGATAACCAATGCATTATCTATGTGAACAATATAGTAAAAGTAACTTAGAAAAAGTTAAAAAATAAAAACAAGTATCTAAGAAAACTCTTACTTTAGTACTTACATAAAGTACATGTATTTTAAACTGTAAAAGAGAATTAGATTGTGGTTTTAATAGTGCTTTTTTTTAACAAATATTTAAAAAAATAAAATTTAATAGTGGCCATGTAAAATTTCAGTGACTAAGGTATCTAACTACTTAGTTTAATTATTTGTAACTAACTGCTCACCCTTACTGCTGCAGGCTAAAGCTAGTTATTGCCTTTTATTAATCTTTACCATTGTCACAAGATGCAGCAGATAAATGTAAAAATTAATGTAAAACTTATTCTTTGCAGCTAGTGAGACTTAAAATAATAAAAGCAACTTATCACTTCTGGTTCTTTAGTAGCTTATTGGAATCGTAAAGTATATTAATTGGGTTACAACCTTAGGAAGTGTACATGAAGCTATGATGCCAATGGCTATTTTCATTGAAATTGTGTCAGACATTTAGAACGTAACTAACTTTCAAAACTTGCCAACTGTGCCTACATCAGACTTTCAGATCTGTTCTGATAGGCAAGTAGCAGTGGTAACAGCAGCCAGTTTTCTGTTACCAGTCATGCTGACTATGATTTTACTTCTCATTTTAACTTATGCCATTTGACACAAAATCTGCCTGCTATTCACTAAACCTCTAGACTGAGCAAATATGTGACAAAATGGGACATATATATATATATATATATAATCAACATAAAACTGTTAGTAAAACATAAATAAAATGTCACTAATCTTCTTTCAAATATGTCCAACTATTTATTAGTGTAAAATGCTTAATGATACTTGATAAATTTTATAAAGTTGATTTTATTCTCAAATTTGTTTTATAATTATTTTATTAAATTATGTTTAATAATAATTCATCCTGCTTACGGATCTCTTTTATTCTTTGGATGGTATTACAAAAGTGAAGTTCAGCTATAGATAATATCCTTAATTGAATTTATTCAGTTCCCTCTTGCTGATATGGGCCTTAATTTTTTTCATTAATGGTGCACAAGTCCTTAATTTCCCTGTGCAGAAATGTGTACAAACCCTGAAAAAGATTTAAAAGGGATTCAGAAGATACTTTTTCGTGACATCTGTACGTACGTATCTCGCATAACACGAAAATGCATAGCCTAAGAAAGTTGAAATTTTGTATATAGGACTGCTATAACATGTAGTTGTGCACATTCCTTTTAAGTTGAAATTGGCCGCACCAAAAGTATATATATATGCTTTCTCTGTTATTCAGCTCTGTGAGCACAGTGTTTTTTATTCTTGTATGTTGGTAAATTGTGCATTTTTTTGCTTTAAAAATATGATTGAATTATGTTATCTTTATGTATCTATCTAAATCTCCTCCGGTTAAGATTTTTATACCTTTAGTTAATCTGCATGCAATAATTGTAGAATTATCAACAAATTAAAAGTTGTTTAAGGGTGGCTAAGCCTAATTTTTTTACAATAGCAGCCATATTTGTTTACATTTGAAACTTAGCAGAATAGTGATTTAAGTCAGTTTCTGCACACTCAGTGTCTTTTTGCCGAGTGGAACCAAAAATAAACTTTCAGTTTTGTGCATCAAGAAATGTGCCTTCTTGCGCACTGGCCGAATTGCTAGCTTTTGCATTTAAGTTCTGATTTTTATTGTAAAAATTGTTTTGGTGTTTTATATTTTTATATATTTTTCAGTTAAGATATTTTGAGGTTTTATGTATTTTTGCCATGTCATGAAGTGAGAACTCAATTAATTGAATGAGGAATATATCTCTAATGAAATTCGTGGAAATAAGTTTAAATGAAATGCAACAAGAAATGTGTACAGTATTCTGTACAAGGAAGTCGTGGTGTACGCATCAGATTTTTTTAAATTGAAGTTTAGTAGTAATTAGTTTCAGATAAAAATACAGCTTTTGCTAATTTGCTTAGTCTAATCTTTCATTTATCTGCTCAGTTATAAAAGTGTATAATTTATCAATTTAATAGAATAATCTGTTATAAAAAATTAGTCCATAATTACATTTTGCACCATTTTATTTACTTTTAGGCCAAGCATTTTCTGCGCTGTATTCTACACTTCTGACTATATTTCTGTTCAATTCAACCTGTGCACTGTAATCTGCATAGAAAATAAAGGCTAGGTGTTATAAATTAACAAAAGCCCATAAGGGCTACTAACTTAAAGAGAGGGATGCTTGCCTTCGTGGAGGATTTTGTAAGGAAAACTAGCTTGTATTCACTTTACATATGGGAAAAACCATAAAAAACAACAATGCAGCCTGCCTGCAAGCCTAAGATCGAGCTTAGGTCAAATTCCCAGCATTTCAGCAGCAACTTGAGGAGAAAAAAGGTTTTGCGAATTGTGGGTTGCAGATAACTGTTCTCTTTTCATGTAAATTTAAATTGTAAAGATACTAACAATAATGGGTACAGAGTTGAGGAAATCGTTTGAACAATCCCTGCAAATCACAGCTTCCATGCTTTTACAATGTGCCAGATAGCATGGTCTGACATCACAGACACAATAATTCGTTCCAGTTGCCAGTACAAGAGACATAACTTTACAACCAGTGTTGAGCATTCTGCACTGTGTTTGTCGCGAAAGCCTTTCGATTTCATGAGGGCTGAAGAACCAATGATCTTGTTTTCCCTCTATCGTTCCAGCTATAAAAAATCAACGGATGTAAAATACTGCTGAAAAATTAAGGAGGCGTGCTAATTCAGTCTGCAGATTTTTTCCAACCGAACAACACGCCAGAATGCTCTTGAACTCTTAACTAGAGAGACCCTTGTAAGCAGGTTCGTCACGACATGAGGACTATACTTCACTGCAATAATTGCTCCATGCTATCCATTAATTATATATATATATATGTAAAGAGCTTCTCGTAATTGTAATAAATATGTTTTGAGTTCAAAATGCAGTAACTATTATACAACCTCTGAAATATACTAATCATTACATGGAGTCAGGAAAGCTACCTGCCACTGTTTATCACATGGGTATTGTTTTTATATAATAAGAAAAGTGAAATATTTATATTTCAGTTTAGTTTGGTGTATTGAATTTGGAATTTATACAGTACCTGTTTGTTTTGCACATGTGTAAATATTTCTTGTTAAAAGTTTGATTTGATAAAGAGTTATGATTTTCCCGCCTTTCTACTTCCTTGTACGAAGTACAGAAAATTTCGGTTATCATATTTTTAGTGAAAATATCCATTTTGACTGTATCAAATGCAATTTAACAATGTTTTTGTGTGGAATCTGCAGGTAAAGACAGAATAAAAGACTCTTTTCCCCAAAAAATTATAAAACTGATTTTAATTAATTCTGAAGAGAATTTTTTGTGGCATCTGTGGGTATGTACGTATCTTGCATAATTCAAAAACGAGTAGCCTCAGGACGTTGAAATTTTGTATATAGGACTGCTATTACATTTAGATTTGCATCTCGTACTTTAATTGCAATCAGTCTCACCAAAAGTATATAAATATATGTGTTCATATATCCACTCTGTTATTCAGCTCAGTGAGCTCAGTTTCTTTATTCTTATATGTTTATGTATTTTTGCCTTGTCGGGAAGTGAGAACTGAATTAATTGAATGAAATACCAAATCATCTGTGAAAAACTGTTTCTTCTTTTTCTTTGTTTAATTTCTTTTATGCATCATTTTAGATTTATTATAGTATGTGAATAGAACATGTGGCAAGAATTAGGAAATTCTTCATATGATATAAATTTTGTGTATTCTGAGTTATAAAATGAATGAAGTGTAACACTGTTAAGTGAACCTATCTCCAGAGTGTCACTGTGGTAAACAAATGTAGTAAATTTTAAAGAGTGCAAATTCTACTTTGGTTTATGTACTATTGACAAAGTAGATTTAATTCAATCCTACTGGATTGAATCATTTAAATGAAATGCAAGAAGAAATGCGTATAATTTAACACTTGGCATGCAGGCAACATATTTTTACGTTTTTTTGCAGTCTGTCACATAAAAATATGTGTTTAGTCGATTTGTGGTGGATACCTGCTACCCACCACAAATCTAGACATTCTGTGGGTGTTGTTTGCGTTGCTAGGCAACACTTTGCATTGTTTTCTTTCAACAAGTTACGATTGATCGAGTTACTTGGTCTTTTGTTATTTCGTCTTCAATCGAATTCTTAGCTCCAGAACGTACAAGTCATGTTTTATCAATTTGAAGCTTGTTTTTCTATTATTGATTAAATAAATTGATAAAATGAACCGTTGTGACGAAGATAGTGATGAAGAAATATGCGCTGACAGATTATCAGACTTTTCATGTGATAGTGATTCTGTAAGTCAAGATATCGAAGAAAGTGACGATCATGAAATTATTCCATGTTCTCGAGTGTTCGTCCAAAGAAATATTTCTAGTAGTTCTGAAACAACTTCTGATGAAGAGGCAGATGAATGGTCATCGATTGACAATCCTCAAGACCTTGAAGAGTTTTTGGGTCATCCTGGGGTAACTAACATGGCTAATGTTCCTGAATCCACAGCTGATGCAATAAAGTTATTAAAAGGTGATGACTTTTTTGCATATTTAGTCGCGGAATCAAACAGGTATTATTATCAAAATATGAATCAGTTCAAAATATCTCCCAAAAGCATGAAATGAAGAGATATTATGATTCCGGAGATGAAGAAATTTTGGGGCCTTATTATTTTCATGGGACAAGTTCGTAAAGATGTCCGAGACTATTATTGGTCAACTGATGCCTGCACAGGTACACAGTTTTTTTCAAAGACTATGTCAAGGGATAGATTTTGTCAAATATGGAAGGCTTGGCATTTCAGTAACAATGAAGACATCACGGACGATTCTGATCGATTATTCAAAGTCAGGCCTATACTAAATTATTTTGTCGAAAAATTTAATAACATTTACAAACTGAAACAACAAGTATCGTTAGATGAGGGCATAATACTTTGGAGAGGATGATTGTTTTTCAGAGTTTACAATGCTGGAAAAATGATAAAATAAAATACGGCATACTCATACAAATATTGTTTGAAAGTGACAATGGTTATATTTGCAATTTTGAAGTTTATGCAGCTCAAGGATTACGTTTGATCGAAATGATACTCACAGTAGTTTCGCCATATACTGATGTCTGGCACCATTTGTACATGGACAATTAGTACAACAGCGTCGATAACACGGAAGCCCTTAAAAAAAAAAAAAAAAAAAAAAAAAAGTTGTGGAACAATTAGGAAGAATAGAGGTCTACCAGAGTGCCTGAAAAAAACTAATTTGAAAAAAGAAGAAACAATCTTTCGAAGAAAAAGTGATGTATTGGTACAAGTCTGGCAATCCAGAAAGAACCAGATATCTCTTCAATCCATTCCGCGGAAAATGAAGGAAAGTAGTAATGTTGATCATACCAGAGACAAAAAATTAAAAGCCAAATGCTTGACCGACTACAACAAGTAGTGAAAGGAGTAGACAGGGCCGATCAGTATTTGTCCTACTATAGTATTTTCGATAAACAGTGAAGTGGACAAAGCGCTTAGCTATGTATATGATGAACTGCGCATTTTTCAATGCATATGTAGTATATGTAATATTCGACAAAGACGCAAAAAATAAAATACAAGAAATTTTTGCATGGCATTGGGTTACTGATGAACTACCTGAAATCAGCACTGAAGAACTAAAGCAAATGATATCAAAATCCGACCCTCCTGGAAGATTGTCCATGGATATGCGTAAGCACGTATTGGAGAAAATTTTTGGTGCCAGGAAGAAGAAAAATCCACAATGTCATGTGTGCGCAGTCAAAAAAGTGCAAAGTGAAACGTGTTTCATATGTAGCTTCTGCCGTGTTCCTCTTCGTAGAGGAAAATGCTTTGAACGGTATCATACTGTAAAGAACTATTAACGTGCTATCAGTTCTATTTGTACTTGTTATGAAAAAATATTTTTGAGTACATTGTAAAATTTTAAAAATCATATATTTTTGTGATTTCGTAAAAGTATTTTTTTTTAAGGGTTAAATAATCATACAGTATATATTTAAGTGTAAAATAAAGAAAGTTTCGTTCATAAAAACAAAGTAGTTTTCGATTTACTGCGATTTTCTTGAATAACCATACTTCCACGCGTTTCACGGAAAAACGTCCGCTGCACGTGTAAGTTCGGGGCGAAGTATAACCGCATGCCAAGTGTTAATATTCCGTACAAGAAAGTTATTTGGTGTGTGCGATGACTTCGTGGTTTAATAAGGCACCATTTAGCAAGATGAAACAAACATTTATTAGGAAAATATGATTCAAAGCATAATAGTAACTCAGAGCAGTACGTCGCTCTTACGGCATAGTACAATCTACTACTACCTTTCTCTTCTGAGGCTAACATGCAACTCTCAATAAGTACATTAACCCTTCTTGGAGAAGAGCTACATGCGCCAAGCACGCTCTGTTGATCGCCAGTCGCCAGATATCACAGTGTACGCATCAGATATTTATTAATTTTTTTTTTTTTTTTTTTTTAAAGATTGGGGGCTTGTACATTCCACTATGAGAGGATACGAATGTTGTATGTTCTAAGTTTTAATTGGAACGTGCATGCTTCCTACTGTACACTACTTAAAACCAGACTAAATAAAAAAAAAAGGGGATTTAATTACATGATTATTTTGTGCATATTTTTTTACATGGAACTCCATCAGTAAAGCATATAATTTTGTTGTTTTTCTGAGTAATTTTAATATTGTTAAGCATTAACATTCTTTGGTATATTTAATGTTGATTTCAATGAACAATAATTGGAATTGTTAATTTGTTTTGCAGTTGCTGAAAAGAGTTTTAGATGCAAACAAAAGAGTTCAGGAAGCAGCATGTAGTGCATTCGCGACTTTGGAGGAAGAAGCATGTACAGAACTAGTGCCCTATTTAGCATATATTCTTGAAACTCTTGTGTTTGCTTTTAGTAAATACCAAGTATGTGCAATATTTTACATTTTAGATTTTCATGTAATGTTAAAAGAGAAGTTCTTAACTTTTCCTTCCTTTCTTATTTTAGCATAAGAATCTTCTTATACTATATGATGCTATAGGAACATTAGCAGATTCTGTTGGTCATCATTTGAACAAACAGGTAAGTTTTTATTTCTTTCTTTCTTTCTTTATTTATTTTAGGCTTAAAACTTTTAAAATATTCACTTTTCAACCTAGGGTGCTATAATCTAGTTACAGATTTTTATTTTCAAAAGCATAGTGAATGAAAGCTAAGTAAAATATTATTTTTTATTTATTTATTTAATTTTTGGGTGTGGGAGGCTTTTGTCTTTGGCTAAAGGTATTGAACCTGAAGTAGTATTTGTTATTTTGAATATAAGTTAATTTCAGAAAAATTTATGTATTTCATATAATTGTTATGAAAAATGGTAATTTTGTAGTTTATGTATTTGTTTAAATTACAACATTAAATATACTCCTAAATAATATGTCTTGTAATTTTAGCCTGTTTAATTTTTATTATTTTTGCCTTTTTTCTTATTTGATTTTTCTTTCATAGGAATACATTGGATTACTTATGCCTCCATTAATAGAAAAATGGAATTACTTAAAGGATGATGATAAAGATCTTTTCCCGTTATTAGAGGTAATGTTGAATTTTTATTATAAACATGTTTTTATAAATTTAAAAAATTTGAATTTTTTCAAATAGTTGTGCCATAAAGAAAAGAACTGTGAAATATTTTTCTTACAGTTAAGTGAAGCATTAATCAGGTTATCGATAGTGATTGTTCTAAAAATATGTTTTGACAAATTTATTGTTTCATTTGTGTCTGGGGTCAGCCAGTGAGCTGCCTGCCTCGGTGAGAATCCAGCAAGTGAGACAGACAAGAGTTGTCTGCAGAAAGTGTGGTAGGGCGTTTACACCTGAGTTCGAGTTTCGATAATTCGAGTTTAATTTGTAAGGTATTGAACACCTGGTTTCATTAGAGTTATTTTCTTAAATTCTGTAATATCAACATCATGTAAATATTTGACCATAAAAGTCGTGCTTCTATATAATAAAGGTTTAAATTTCTAATAATGTATTAACATTATTGGAGGAAAACAGTGATTTTTGCAGAGCCTGTATTGATGATATTGCTAGCTTCTCACGAGATTGGAATTCACATCTCAAACATTTATATGGTGTGCTAGCTACATTAAGTGATCTCAGATTTATGGCGAACGTAAAGAAATGTGTTTTAGCACGTTCAGAGATAAAGTATTTAGGACATATAACGGGAGCTGGAAGACATCAACCCGATCCTGGAAAACCACGAGCCATCAAAATTATAGAAAGTCCTAAAACGAAGGCTGCTCTAAAGAGGGCATTAGGCTTATTCAACTATTATCATTATTACATAAAGAATTGTGCAGAAATAGCTCACCCATTGATGAAGCTTACGAAAAAGAAAATTCCTGAAATAATTCCATGGAGTGATGTTGAGGAATCAGCATTTCAAGATCTAAAATGTCGACTGTGTGAAGCATCAAAGCTTTACACTCCAGACCCCCCCCCAAAAACCTTATACCATACAGTGTGATGCTAGTTCATATGGTGTTGGTGCTTACTTATCACAACGAGACAGCAAAGACAGTTTTCATCCTATCAGCTTTGCAAGTCAAAAAAACTTTCGAAAACTCGGGAGAACTGGTCAGCAATTGAACGTTAGGCTTATGCCCTTGTGTGGTCATTAAAAAAATTCGAGTGTTGGGTATTTGGATTGAATATCGAACTGATCATAGACCATAATCCATTATTATATTTGCATAAAGTCGGCACCTCATTCTGTCAAATTACAGAGATGGGCAGTGGCACTTCAGTGTTATAATATTCATATTTCTCATTGTCCTGGTGCACAATTAAAAAATGCAGATAGTCTTTCAAGACTAGTTGGTGAATGAAATAGGTGTGAACTAAGTATGAACTGATATGTTTAAAAATTTGCATAAATTATTTTCCTATGTTCCGGAATTGTATGAGAGCTACTTTCCATCTGGTTTGAAAAAAAAATTCGTGGGTTTTCATTTAATGTTTTATTATAATATTGTGTTTTGGAATAGTATTGCATATATGTTTTGTTACAGAATTCCGGTATTGTATCAAGGCGTCTGTTCATTTGTTGTAAGATGACTGTCACTTATTTCAAATTATGGTACTACATCATATATATATATATATCATATATTTTGAATTTATTTGGTTGAGAAAAAATATATAATGAGATATTAGGCAAGTATTAGTATTACATTTATAAAAGTGATTATATATGTCCTTTAAGTCCTTAATTGTTTATTTCAATGTGAGACGATGTACATGTTAATAAGTGTATTAATTATTAAACATTGGATTATGGAGTATGCAATTTAAGTTCGTGAACTCATTTACTGGTTCAGGGGTGTGTGTCATGTATCTGGGTGTGGTTAGCCAATCAGCTGTCTGCCTCGCGGTGAGAATCCAACAAGTGAGACAGACGAGAGCTGTTCTGCACAAAGTGTGGTAGGGCATTTATGCTTGAGTTCGAGTTTCGATTTTAGCCAGCGTGGCTGATTTAATTTGTAAAGTATTGAACACCTGCATTTCATTCGAGTTATTTTCTTAACACCTTCGAGCCGGGTAGCGAAAACGCGCGCTTATCGCGGAGGCCGGCAGTGTCTACCGCGAGCGTCTCTCCAGGGCCGGGGGCTTTTTTGCTACTAAGCCTAAATCCATGAAATTTCCGAGTATCAACACATTGTTTAATAATGCTCATAGAGATTTAAACGGCTTATGCTTTATAGATATTTTATATATATACTTTAATTACCTTATTCTTGTTAAATGCATATTTTACACATTTATTTTAATTACTACATTTATGACTTTTAACTTTATACATCTGAAAACTAAATATATTACTAAAAATTCTTTCGTATGAAAATTTGAAAAAGGGATTACACAGTCCTACGTTACATTCCTTGAACTCGTAATAACTCATTTTGCCGTTTTGGAGGATTTTTCCAGGAATTGAACAAACGAAGCATCGTGTCTCATTTTCTTATCAGTCTCTTCTGAACAAAGTTTGGAAAATGTCTTTCAGTTAATCTTTCAGAATCAATATCTGAAATATTTTGCACATTTCTGCTATTTCATGCTGTTAAACATTTCGACATTGAAACAGTAAAAACAGAAAGAATTCACGTCTAACAAGATCTAATTATTTTCTAAAAAACTGACGGTAAACCGAAATACTCAACGCTTTAGTGCATATAAAACTTCTACTTACAATAAACAATACCACGTGGACTACTAAAGTGCGATTTTAAGAGACGTCATAAATCACGCCATTCGGAACCATTTAGTTCCCCGTTTGTTATATTATCAAAAACAGTGTAGTGAGTCATGCTTCTCTCATTTCGAGTAGAAGGTCTAATGTACATGTATCTGAAACCATATGGACATTACAGTGCCATCTTGTGGCAGAAATTATAGTTTGAAAAACGTTCCAAGGTACTGGCACAAATACGTGACATTCGGTAGTAAACGCAACAATGCTCTGGCACGCCTGCGTGTCGGCCGGTAGATAAGTGTGTTTGTTGCTGGCACGTATACGTGACAGTCGGCGAGAAGGGGTTAAATCCTGTAATATCAACCTCATGTAAATATTTGTACATAAAAGTCAGGCTTCTATTAAAAGTTAATAGAATTAAATTTCCAATAATGTATTGTGTCATGTCTCTGCCATCCCAACAGGCATGACAATTTGATAGTAAATGATATTTTCCTTATATATTGAACTTTAAATGCTAATGAACATATAGTTTTTACCTATTCAAGTTTGAACATTTTTTTCATAGTCTGTTTCTTTTAATCTCATTTCATGTAGGTACCAAATGGACTCTCAAATACTATATTGTACAAATTAGTTGGGCTAAACCAGTGTTTTCATAAAATTTTTTGTCATTATTTTTTGAAGGATTGGTCTTATCTCTGTTCTTTTGTTGTGCTATTTTTCCTGTTTACTATTATCAATTGCAATAAGTTTAGCTCACAATATTATTTAGAATGATTTTTTAAACTTGTTTTACCTCAGCTGACGGTACTAGTAGCTGTTGCATTCTCTTGTTTGTACTTGGCTGACAGTATTAGTTTAAGTTAATAACAAACAGTTTAATGCAGAATTGCTTAACATACTTCATAATTTATTTTGAAGTATATATTAGCGTAGAAACAATATAATGCAAAAAAATTCAGCTTCCAACTACTAATATTAACCAAGAATAAACAATAGAATCTGGAACCTTATTCTGACTAACACCATTAGCCAAGAATATTGTGTAGGCACAATTCGTTAGGCTCATTTGAAATGGTGTCATATTGGACCACATGTAAGATTGAAAATTCCCTAGAAATTGTTTTATCTAAATTTTAATTGAATTAAAAACATGTATTTCATTTTAAAATATATTTCTTAAAACTTATGTGGTTAGTTAAGAAATAAAAAATTTATGCTCTTTTTTTTTTCTTCCCCGGGTAGTGTTTATCCAGTGTAGCAACAGCTTTACAGTCTGGTTTTCTTCCATATTGTGAACCTGTTTTCAGAAGATGTCTCAGTCTTGTTGAACAAACTTTAAATCAAACAATGGTAAGACTTGTTTTAATGTAGATACTGTGAAAGTTACAAAACTTTTAAATTATTTTTCTTATTTACATGAAGCATTTTGAATGCTTTCATCTTTTTTAATAAAGATAATAATGAGAATGTGCAAGTAATTGAAATTTTTGGAAAATTAATGTCAATAGTTTGTAAATTATTAACAGTAAAGAAAGTGACATTTCTTTAAACCTTTTTTGTAGTGCATGATAGTCTGATATTTTTTAAAATCTTTTTATTAAAACAATGTTATTACTGTTTAAATAGCAAGATTTTTTTTTTTTTTTTTTTTTTTTTTTTTTAAGAATGAATAGGAACGAGTCCTGTAATGAGGTATCAGAAACATGATTAGACATATTTTTTTATCAGATATTAGTTAATGTTGCAGCTGTGGTTTTTAAATTCTAAGATATTTATCAACAGAGATTTAAAAAAAATTATTAAAAAATTATAAAATAAAAATGTGAAAAGCTGTAAAATTGAATTAGATATATAGTTTCTTTCCTTAAAAATTTTTATTGTCCATTATGGAATTTGGTGCAAGAATTTACTTTTATTTTAAAGTTTATTTTTCTAATTATCACCTGTTATTATACTATGTATACAAGGTCTGTTCCAAAAGTAATTCGCCCCATTTTCTTTTGGTGTGACTATCCGTCATCACACAGCATTGCCGCTTGCATGGAAGGGTGGGAGAATTGGGAACACAGAGCGACCAGTGCCATTTGGCTCTGAGCTCCTGAAGAGTCACAGTTCCTGTTTCAGTGAACCCTTATGCGAGTGCTCGGTCTAAATCAAGATGGAAAAACTCGATCAGCGATACCCAATAAAGTTTTGTTTCAAACTTGAGAAAACGCCGTCAGAGACTTTTGTATTGCTTCAGAAGGCTTTTGGTGCAGAGTGAGTGTCATATTCACAGTGCAAAAGGTGGAATAAAATGTTCAAGGAAGGTCGTGAGGAGGTCGGCGTCGAATAACAATTAGGTTGCCCCAGATGAACGTTCGGTTGGAAAAGTGCATGAATTGTTGAACTTTGACTAAAGAATGAGTGTTCGCCTAATATCAGAAATGCTTGACATTCTGAAGACCATTGTGCACAAAATTGTGATGGAAAGCTTACAGATGCAGAAATTCTGTGTGAAACTTGTCTCTAGAGTGCTCACTAATTGGCAAAAGAACAATCAAGTAGAAGTGTGTTAAGAATTGTTGCAGTGTTGTGAAGACGGTCCGACTTTTTTGAATAATCTGGTAAGTGGTGATAAATCTTAAATCTTTGACAGAGTTGCCAATTCTCCCGATTTAGGCGGGAGATTCCCGATTTTCGACCGCTCTCCCACCAACCCGATTTAATATTTCTCCCGACTTTTTCTTATTCTAAAAATTCTCACAATTTTTATGGAACCTGGCTTAATGCTTTGTTATATGGGGGGGGGGAAAGAGTGATTTTGGATGTCTGAAAGCAATTGAATTTTCTCTAGCTTATATCTAAAACAAAACCTTGCAAATTAGATAATTTGCTTGTGAGTGAGAAGCATATATGTATCCAGAAGGTCGTTCTCCCGTCTCATGGGCATCGTGCTCCATGGTGTCATCTGGATATGTTAGCCATGAGGACAAAGCAAAAATGTTATTGGATGTTTTAGTTATTCGGTCATTTTGTCCAGACATGCCTTCGGGAAAGAGTTTTAGAAATTGTCATCTTTTTTATGTCTGTGAGAAGGTGAAATACTCATATACGTCAAAAAAGCCTACACATGACTTTCCTTCCATTATTTCTCAAGGAAATGAATAAATTTGCGATGTGTACCGCCTGTCGTTGCATTTTTTTTTCGCATGGGTAGGGCGATGTTCTCAAACATGGCGTACACAAAAAACACAAGGACAACATGAGTTGTTTTGAAAAAAAAAAAAAAAAAAAAAAAAAAAGGAAAAATTAAATTTTTCTTCAGAAACAGAGGACCAAAGTATTAATGCAGAATGTCTGTTCTCTGCCTTTTTTGGCTGGAGTACAACCTGCCGCTGAGTGCATGGATCACGCTGCAGCTTTATTTAGAAAAATGTTTCCCGATAATGAATCGCTAAGAATATTCAAGTGCGAGAACCAAAACAGGTGCATTGTTAAAAAATGGGTTTGAAAAAAAATGATCAGTTATTGATTGCAATAAACAGCTCGGTTCTGCCCTCTATGGAGGAAGCAATAATACCTGTTATTTCTTTATAATCCAGATCTCAGAATTGGTGCAGTTTACTTTCTTCCCCACTTGAAGGACTTTGACAGGCTTAATATACCACAGCTAATTATTAAAACTTTAAAAGAAAATATAGTCCCTCTGGATAATGCTTAGCACTTGGGCTGATAATCACCAGTATTGGTAGCTTGAATCTAGTGTTGCAGGCATCTTAGGAAATTCAGATTTACGATTATGAGGTGCACCTGTCACCCATTCCATTTTTGGAAAAAACGGCAGCTTTACCAATAAATGTGATGAAAACATGTTGATATTTATTATTATCTTGAAAGGAGTTCTAAAAAAGGAAGGAAAAATTGAAATAGTTCCAACAGCTGCATAAAGCAGTTTCCATTAAAACTTGGATGAAGTTAAAAATCAGCTAGATGACACCCAGTGGAGTTTAATTGGAAAACTGAAAGGTGCTGATGGAATTTTAAAAAATATAGTAAACTGTCTAGAATTATGTTGGCCATCTTATAACAGTTCCACATAGTAATGCAGAGTGTGAGAGGATATTCAGTGTTGTTGCGAAAATGAGGACTAAATTTAGATGTGATATTAGTGATGACACATTAGAAAAACTTTTATTAGTGAAAGCAGTCCTGTGTGGCAATTGCTGTGAACAAAATTATGAAGTTTCTTTCACAATGAAAGCAAATTCTGCCACTGTTCGTAACGTTTGTACAAAAACTGATTAAAATGTCTTTTTTGTTGTTTTGTTTTTTAAATGATCAAGTAATAAAACTGGTTTTATGTGTAAGGTATTTTTGTGTTGCTTGTATTTAAGAATTAGTAACTATTTAAAGTTAATTCATCATTAAAAACTATATCATTTTAAAAGTCTTTTTAACATTGTGAAAAATCTCCTGATTTCTTAAAAAAATCTTCTGATTTTTGAGTGTAATAGGTTGGCAAGTATGCTTTGAATACGACCTAGAAACAAAAAGGCAGTGCGAAGAATGTTGCACAACATTGTTCCCACACCCAAAAAAGGCAAGAATGAGCAAATCGAAGGTTAAAGTGATGCTCATCGTTTTTTTAGATTCCAAGAAGGTGGTCTGTTTTGATTTTGCTTAGTGGTCTATTTTGATTTTGCTATTTTGCCGATTTGTTCCCGAAAATTAAAAAAATCCCTTAAAGGACAGTATTTAGGTACCCTGGAGAACATCGAAGCTACTACGACAAGATTACTAAAGGACATCTTTGTGACTGACTGTCAGGATGCATATAAAGCATAGAAATCACTTTAGAACTAGTGTTAAAGCAGGAGGGATGTATTTCGAAGAATATTGAATAATTGTACGAATTGGTTCAATAAATTTCTTTAAAAAAATTGGTTGCATGCATTTAGTTTTTTTAGAATAACAGAAATCTTTAATTAAACCAAAAATTTTAAAATGAAAGAAAGCGTGTTAAGAAAGAAACCGAATAATACAGAGAAAGAATTATTCTTCAAATATATGTACAGGTATTATTATGTAATTACCAGTTGTTTTAATTTCAGCCTTTACTATAATTTTCCATTTCTATTTCCTCCCCAGACTGCAAATGACTTACGCAGTTTTTAAACTGAGGTTTTTGGTGTGTAAGATAGAATGTATTTTTAATCTCTGCTTCCTCACTGCATTAGTTCCTGCCAGCTCTGATAATTTATAACTTTTTGTCTTTGCATTAACCATACCTGCCAACTTTTACGAATTTTTCGTAATTTTTATGAAAATGCGTTGTCTTCGACTTTACGATCGTTATCCTTTTTTACGATTTTTTTCCTTTTTCAAGTGGTTTATGATTTTTGTCAAAATTTATAATTTTTCACCAATAATGATTTTTGCCAATGCATCGTGTTTTACCGCAAACTACGATGCTTCGATCCGTAACCTGCGGTTCTCCACAACTCGCCGCTTAACCAGCCAATCCAATGCGCTGAACTTTTTCTCCCACTCTTTGTGGGGCCAGATTATTTTTTCACGTTTGCTTCAGCAGCAGGGAATTACTCAGCGAGCGTGGATTGTCGCATTCTTTTTTGTTTTGTTTTTGTTTTTGTTGTTTGTTTGCATGTGCTACAATTTTCTTAATACGTCGTCGTTACGAAATGAGTTAAAAAAACGTCTCAATATTTCGCCTGCCTACAAAGCCTAATTCCAACAATTAAAGAATCCTTCAAAGGAAATAACTATGCTTTTGCAACGTGTGCGTGTGTGACTTCATAATAAGTCACGGTGGAAGAAGTGCCATTGTGAAGCATGTTAAGTAAAAAGCATGAAGTGTTAATGCTTTGGCTTCGACAACGTCTAACTAAGCATCGACAATGTCATTTTGGCAGAGGTTTGTTTACTACATTCCTCATCGAACACAAGTGCCGCTAAGCCTTGCCGATCACGCCGCGTCAACTTTCAGACGGATGTTTCCGACTCCAAGATTGCTCAGAAATATGCTTGTGCTCGCACGAAACATCTTCTATGTGAATGAAATTGCTTGCGATGCACAAAGTAAATGATAGCTGCACTGCAAAAATACAGCATTTTCGTGTCAATCTATGGCAGCAACGACAGCGATTGGAAGCTTTACCCCATCGTTGTCACATATTTCTGTGATGTTTCTATAAAATGAAAACTATCTTTTGCGTCTTCATTGTAAATGGAGGCGCTACGGGGGAAAATATTGCCCTTGGTAATAATAGTTGAAACAACTTAACATCCAATATCAAACTGCATTTCATTTGGTTGCAGATAATGCTCATGTTATGGTGGGTGACAAAAAGGGTGTAGCCTCTTTCCTCAAAAAAGAAACAAAATGAATTAATTTTTATGGATGCCCATGCCACTTAATTAATTTGGCAGCAGAAAAAGCTGTAGCTGCTTTACCATTAAATATTGACCAGCTTCTGATTGATGTTTTTTTTCTATCTGGAAAAAGTGTAAAAGGGAAGAAAACCTAAAGAATTTCCAAGAACTGTGCTCTGTTGAACGAGAAAAATTCTGAAACATGTATGCACGAGATGGTTATCCTTAGGCAGAGCACTAGGAAGGTTTATTGAACAGTGGGATGATTTCTAAATATTTCCACAAAGAGACCTAAACTAAACCCACAGATCCCATCGAATTGTCGGCATATAAGATTCGAAAAACCACTTTGCTTCTAATCAAATGCTTTAAAGGGGAAAGCCAACACACAGAATCCAAACCCTTAAAAAAGAAAATGCTTAGAAGACGCCTCAAGGTCAACGTTGTTAAAGAAGTTGAAGGGAGAAGAAACAGTCTTCTATTAGCCGAGAGGAAAGGATTTTCTATGTTCTTTCTTCGGATTTGAACAAAGCATATTGCAGATTTGTGTTAAGTACCATTAAGATTTTTGAAAGTTTAAATACCCTTCTACAATCAGCTTCGCCAAAATCTGCCCTGTGTATCCAAATTCTTAATGATCTTTTGAAAGAACTTTTAACTAAGTTTGTAAAGCCGTCCGTTGTGAAAAACATGTGTTGTTTTATATTGCCTATAATAGTTTGGCAAATCAAACGGATGGCAATGATCTTATAATTGGAAATCAAACCAGGGACTTATAAATTCTTTGAAAGATCATGAGAAAAAAGAAATTTTCAATGTGTTAGAAAGTACTTTCCTCAGCCTGTGATTACATTGTAAGGAAGTTGTCCTTTGCAAAAGGAAGTTCTTTTGATGCTGAAGTGGCAAATTTGAAACAATTGAAAATTCATCTTTTGTAAAGGTTCATTTTTTATTGATAAATTTCCATTTTTGTTAACAATTAAAGAAAATGAATGCATAATGATGCTTTAATGAACTAGAGAACCAATTTCTGCTGCACAGTTTGAAGACTTTCCTGAAGAAGAGTCCTGGAGAAGATAGTCTTGATGTCCTCGTTGGTACCTTAAAAAGAATAAAAAGAGCTGATGGAACACCAAAATATGATAGACTAGCAAGAGTTTTATGTGCTATTCTCGTAATTCCACACAGTAATGCTGAGTGCGAGAGAGTCTTCAGTGTTGTGAAGAAAAACAAAATTATGTTTCGTTCTTCAATTTCACCAAAAACACTAGAAAACATTTTAATTGCTAAATGTTATGAGGAAACTAATTGTTATGACAGGAAAATTTCCAAAGAATTTTTGGTAAAGCCAAAAAAAAAAAAAAAAAAAAACGCTCTAAATTCATTGCAATAATTTTTTTGTGTAACATTTTCTTGTTTTATGTTTCCTAATAAATTTTTTAGTTACTACTTAATCGAGATTTACTAATATAAGTACAATTTTCTTTTTTCTATTTGTATAAATTGTTACTTTTTAATATCAAAGCATGATATTAATTCTTCGTGTTATTCTGAATTTTGGAGAAATCTTCTTAATTTGGGGGAGAAATCTTCTGAATTTTTATCTTTAGAAGTTGGCAGGTATGCATTAACGCTGCTGACATTTGAATTTGTTATGACGATAGAGTTACTGAGCCAGCTTAAATTAAAATTAAATTGTATGGTCTTTGACCACTAGTCCACATTTCTTTATTTGAATTTGATTGTTTTTGTTTAATTACATCACCACAAACTGCAATTGAATTAGTTAGCATAATAACATGCATTTAAATTCTTTTTAAATAAGAGGCTTATTTAAACCTTTGTCTGACTTTGTAGTTACTTTGAGACATAGCGATAACTTGCTTCACGTCTGTCGTGAATTTTTGGAACATTTAACTTTTAACAAATCAAGTAAACCCTCATAGGTACATTGTAGAGATGTTGAGAAGTTAGGAGATAAAGCACGCAAAAAGTAGTGAGAACCTTGGTTTGCATATTGAAAGAAATTTCTAATTCTTAGTAAAGATACTTAAAGAGAAGGATATCTATATAAATTAAACAAAATGTCTGGCCAGATTGTGATTTTAATAGGGACTTTAACAGTATTGTTAAAAAATAACAATAACAAGTAAAAATAAAAATAACAAGTAAAATTTAATAGTGGTCATGTAATTTTATAATGACTAAGGTTATCTAACTACCTAATTTAATTTATAACTTTACCCTTAAAAATTACCTCTGCATATTAAAATGAGTTATTGCCTTTCATTATTCCTTAGCGTGGTACAAGGTAAAACACAAAAATATAAAAATTCATGTAAAACTTATTCTTCGTATCTAGGGAGACGTAAAATAATACAAAACAACTTAGTGTCACCTCTGGTACTTTAGTGGCTTATTGAAACTTTAAGGTATATTAACTGTGTTACAACCCCTTTAACTCTACACGGAGCTACAACACTCACTGCAGCAGACAGAGCCCAACTAACTTTCAAAACTAGCTATCTGTGCCCACATCAGGCCTTTCAGTTTTGTTCTGATCAGCAGGTCTGTATCTAAACAAGGAGCAGCAGTGACAACAGCCAGTCTTTTGTTATAAATCAATCTGATTAGGATTTTACTTCTCATTTTAACCTATGACGCTTGACATAAAACCTACCTGCTATTTACTAAACCTCTAGCTTGAGCAAGTAATGAGACATTAAAACTAACTATTAGAAAAAGGCAAATAAAATGTCACTTATCTTCTTTCAAATATGCCAAACTATTGTAAGTGTAAAATATTTAATGTTGTTTGGTAAATTTCATAAAGTATGTTTTATGCTCAAACTTAATAATAATTATGTAAATTAAGTTATGTTTAATAATAATGCATCCTACTTGCGGATCTATTTTATTTTTTGAATGGTATTACAAAAGTGAAGTTAAGGCATAGATAATATTTTTAATTGAATTTATTAATTTGCTATTTGCTCATAGGTCCTTAATTTTTTTCATTAATGGTCCTTAAGGGGTATCAGAAACCTCTATACCGGCAATGTTAAATTGGCCATTTTCGATGTACCTTTTCTCAAAATCTGCTGTAGATGCATAAGCTTGAAATTTTTTCTGTAATTAAAGTATACCTATCTGATTATGCTGAAATCAGCTTTTGAAAGCATTTTGAATTTTACAGTAAATTACAGAATATTTTGTTACGACATAGTAAAAATTAGCACTTTTCTCACACAAAAAAGTTTTCAATATTTTTTTTCAAAAGTTTATTACAAAAATGCTCATTTCAGTAAATATTGGAGAACCTAATAAATAAGCCATAAAAAGTTTAGGATACCTGTGAGCAGTAGTTCCTGAGAAAAGGTACATCGAGTATAAAAAAATCACCGTTCTGGAGAAAAACGCGTTTTTATGTAAAAATCCATCATTGATTCAAAGCGGTAGATGACAAATTAAAACTAGATTTTTTACAGTTCTAATTTTCATAGAGATTAAAGAATGGTATTTTTAGAAAGATAAAAGTGTAGAGAATTTGAAAATGCAAAAATCCGAAATCACAATTTTTTGAAGATTTTGGGGTTCCAACTCCCCTTAAAAGAACTTAATTTCTATGTGCAGAAATGTGTACGATCCCTGTGGATGTAAGGTTCAGAAAATTTTCAAAATGTGTAACCAGATGCTTTCTCCTCAATACATTTTTCATGTTTATCACTATTTTTTTGGGAGGGGGAAAGGGCATGCAGTTTATATGTATTTATGCTATTTTTATGTTTAACTTGTACCGGTATAGATAATCTGTTTCTGATTATGAAATAGAAATAAAATATCTTATTTGTATTTATACTGAATGCTTTTTTTTCTCTGAAGGCGAATGTTACGAATCCTGATCAATTTGAAGCTCCTGATAAAGATTTTATGATAGTTGCATTAGACTTATTAAGTGGATTGGCAGAAGGATTAAATGGCCATATAGAAGCATTAGTCATGTCGAGTAATATTATGCAACTATTATACCAATGTATGCAGGTAATAATTTTGTACATATTTATTTTAAATTAAGACCTGATAGTTTTGTATTACCTAGTAATTCCAGATATTTGTGACATATATTTCTATACTTGTTCACTTGGTAGGATCCAATGCCAGAAGTTCGGCAGAGTTCATTTGCTCTACTTGGTGATCTAACGAAAGCTTGTTTTCAGCATGTCAGTCCATGTATACGTAAGTGATATTTTTATTATAGTTAATTTTTAAACCTTTTTAATGTAAGCCATGTGTCTCCTCCCTTTTTTTGTTGCATGCCAAGTATAGAAATCTTGCATGCATATTTTATATACCAAAAAGTACGTGGGGTGGTAATAAGTCGTATATAGATGGAAAATCTATTTATAGCCATTCATCTACAGTTTTAAAGCATTAAGGTCAATGTGAAACAGCCATTAATTTTTGATAAATGAAGTATATTATTAAAATACTTAATAAGTGGGCAGTTATTAAAAGAAATATATGGAATTTCTCTTGTTTCTTAATTAGAGTATAAAATTTCTTGAATAGTTCTTGAAGATTTCTTGAATTTATTTTAAAGAAACATACAGTACAAAGACCAAAATCCTGGCATCCAACATCCGGACCAGGAGCCATAAATAAATAAATAATAGTGAAAATTTCTCCTCCCTTTAATAATATATATACAGTCAAAAGTCGTTAATCCGGACTCGTTGGGACTTCGGCGATTCCGGATTATCGATTTTTCCGGATTATAGATCATCAGTTTAAATCTCGTAAGATGGCATGCAGAAATTCTAAAATTAAAATATGAAACCTTAATTTATGAAATAAAGAACAATTATAATCTAAAGGGTATCAAAATTTACAAAAAAAAAAGCTTAATATTTATTTGTTTACATTATTAAACATTTCTTTCAATGTAAGTTGTTTAAGTTGCTTCGTTTTATGTGATAATACTTTCTCTTTAATTCTATAAACAGACACGATTTCTTGTTCAGTTACAAAGTTCCGCTGTTCAAGTCCCGTAATTGCTGTGCTGAGAATACCGACTAACTTGTCATTCGAAATTTTTTCGTTTTCACTAACCTCTCTGTCACCTTCTTCATGTCTTTATCCATTTTTTGAAGCAATTCCACTTTGTTTGATGGACATCGAAACATACTTTCGTTTTGTAGATCGTTTGGGAGCTCCAGCATCGAAAATTCTATTTGATATAATCGAAAGTTCAAGTTTACGTTTATAGTATTGCTCTTATAGTCTGCAAAAATATAAGCCGGATCCAGTTCGAAAATTAAGGAACAACACAATCATCAACATTAACTGAAATAGATAATTAGATAATTTTAGCTTATTCCGTCCTGGTGTACATAAAATGCGCACGCCAAAACGTATTCTGCACTTGCGCACACGCATATGCGCAGACATAAAAGGTCTTACGCGCACGCGTAAACGCCTATGCGCATGTGTCAACACGGCACATGCGCAGAAAGTTTTTAGCTTTGAGGCCCGGATTATAGATCATTCTGGATTTTGGGTGTCCGAATTAACGACTTTTGACTGTATTGAGTTTGGATAATGAATATGATGTGATACTTGTTAATATGTATGAACCAGTTATACAGCTGCCATTTTGTGTCTTGCTTGAATTTTTCACATGGGAAGTAAGACATATATAAATCTTGAATTATGCTAGAATCTTTCTAAAAACCTGTATTTGTTACCTTGGTTTGTAAAAAGGGTGAATGAACCACAGATTTGAGGTAGCTGAACTGTGAATGGCCTGCTATTTCTTCATTCCAGATGACCCAAGCAGGCCAGTGACTTTAAGCAGTGAATTGTAATTACTTTTTTTATGTTGAATTTGACCACCTTTATCTCAACAGTGCTGTAAGCAAACTGTTAAAAACATTCAGCCAAGTGGGGTATAACACATATAACATGACTATAGGGCGTACAGAAACTGAAACAGACTGACAATCATTGCAGTTATGGTTGCTAAAGAGTCTTTGATGTTTGCATTAGAAATCCTTGGAAACATATCTTCCAAATTTGAGCTGTAAGGATAAAGTTCGTACGGCCTTTTAGAGGTCTAAAGGTTTTTTTTTTTTTGGAAAAGTCCTTAATTTCGGTCAAAATCGGCAGAAGGAACGCCACGCCGTGGCGGGCGCGTAATAAATTGGAAGTTGATTTGTCAGCACTATCCTTATCTTCAGCGCAGATGTTTTTATTTGGCTTATAATTCCTTACCAAATGTAGTATTTCATCTCTCGATATGCTCCGTCTTTGATATGATTTAAAACAAGTTCCTGGTCATTATAATTCGCTTCCGATAGCGAAAAAAGTAACAGAGGTTTATTGAAAGCGAAAAAATTTCGATTGACAAATTAGTCGGTGTTCTTGACACAGCAATTATAGGACTTGAACAGCGGAACTTTGTAACTGAACAAGAAATTATGTCTGTTTAATAGAATTAAAGAGAAAGTATTATCACATGAAACGAAGCAAAACTTAAACAACTTACATTAAAAGAAATGTTTAATAAAGTAAACAAATAAATATTAAGCTTTTTCTTTTTGCAATTTTGATACCCTTTAGATCATAATTGTTCTTTATTTCATTTCCTAAATTACGGTTTCATATTTTTAATTTTAGAATTTCTGCATGCCATCTTACGAGATTTAAACTGATGATCTATAATCCGGAAAAATCGATAATCCGGAATCGCCGAAGTCCCGACGAGTCCGGATTAACGACTTTTGACTGTATATATAATGTATGAAATCTAGGAATAGGGATTGTAAATGCTGCACAAAAAGAAGCATACATACCATAAATGAAATATTTCTCATACCTGAGAAATATTTCATTCTCATTCCTGCATGTCACTTTCATGTACTTGATGCTCAGCAAAAAGAAGCTGGCATGCCATCAGTGAGGTTGTTCTCCTATCTAACTGAGGTTCTTGCATGTCCCTGTCAATTACCTGATGACTAAGAACTCACATTTTGGCTAGCAAAAGGTTCACTTTGTTACACACACCACAAAAAAAAAAAAAATAGAGGGGGACATTTCTATATTTCCTATTCTGGTAGGCAGATTGATGAAATTTAACTCAAGTTTTGATGTCTCAAAAGCAAGATTTATATGTAGCACTGTTCAAACATAGGTATAATGATACAAAATTAAACTTCGAAATGACAACAATTTTTTTTCCTGTGTTTCCATTCTATGACTCAGATTATGTGTAAATATTACATTTTGTAAGATTCAGTAAAAACTTTAAAGATAAATTCAAAAATTTATTTTGGTGAACTTGTTTCAGTTTACACCAAGAATAACTTAACTTCTTAATGAAATTCTTAATTCATGGTAACATATTTTCCTTTCACATTGTGCATGATTGGAAAAAAAAGGTCCATTGTCCAATATTTTAAGTAATTTTCTTTGTATTATGTTTTTAAAGCACAGTTGTTACTTTTAGATCCATAAACCGCACTTGGCGTTATTATTGCTTAAAACAAAGATGCCAAATTTCAAAACAGATGTAAATTCAAGTATATTTTAGGAAATTTTGAATAAAAGATTCTAATTTTTTTATAGGTATTTTTAGAAATACATCTACTTTTACTTAAAGGTTATGAATAAACAAAAATATTTAAAAATTTATAAAAATTAATAACAAATACAAATTAAAAAAATTAATTTAGAAATATCTGCAAACTTTATTTGGAGAAATATTATTAAATTTTATTTTATTTTATTCACTTGGAAATAAAAATGGGATTAAAGTCACCTTGACTGCCAAGTTTTATTTACGAAGTCAACATATCTGCTTATGATGCAATTAGAATACTTCCTCTTCAATTTAGCATAACTACGTTTCGACAGTGTTCCGTCTTTTCCTTGTGCTTTTATTATTACACACACACACACACACACACACACACACATATATATATATATATTGTGTATGTGTATATATATATATTTATATATCACCTACTCTGTTCTCAGCCCCATGAGCTCAGTTTTTTTTTCTTATGTTGGTATATTGTGCAGTTTTTGCTTTAAAAATGATTGTATTATATTGTTCTTATCTTCTGGTTAAGATTTTTATGCCTTTAGTTAATCTGCATGCAGTAGTTTCAGAATTATCAACAAATTAAAAGTTGCTTAAGTGCAGCCAAGCCTAATTTACCATAGTGGCCATATTTGTTTACATTTAAAGCTTAGCAGAATAGTGAATTAAGTCAGATTCTGCGCCATCAGTATCTTTATGCCGAGTGGGACCAAAAGTAAACTTTTAATTTTGTTTGGTATTGAATTACTTTTTTTATACTGACAACAGTGTTATTGTTCAGACATATTTTCATTTATCATAAAGATTCTAAGATAATGATTTAAAACTCATCAACGAGAATTTAATTAAAGAAATTTTTTACCTTTTTTTTTTTTATGAAACCAAGATCTATGTTTTGTCGAAATTTTTAGGCAGTGTATGGTTTAACGTATTAAATACTGTATTATTTTGTTATAAAGTCAGAATTTTCTGAACTATACAGGACCTCAGGACAACTAACCTTTTTGCTTTGACTATATTGATAATTTTCCAGAATCGTATTATTTTAAGAAAATTCAGAACTGCAATGTACACATTTTTATATTTGTTTAATATTTATATGCTTTTTGATGATTAGTCCAATTCTAATCAAAATATTATCTTTTAGAGGATTTTTTACCTATACTGAGCCAGAATCTGAATCCTGATTTTATATCAGTATGTAATAATGCTACTTGGGCTATAGGAGAAATATCTGTGAAGTTGGGTAAGCAAGGTATTGTTGTGTTGTAGCAGAATTTCTGCATTCCTTTAATAATTTTAGAATTGAATAATAAATGTTTCACCCATTTTGGGATTCCTTTCTAAATTAAAGGTTGTTTTGTTTTTAAACTTATAAAACCCATATTCTGTAACCTGTTAAGAAAATATTGGTACCATAACCCATAACTGATGAGATTGGTCGGTAAGATTATAAAATTTCACTCCTCCAGTTACAGTTAAAAATATCATTATCATGCAATTTCTTTTTTATAACTTTGCCTACTTTTGCATGACTTTTATATCTTTACATGAATATGATTTAATCTGTGTGTATTATTACCATCTTGATTACAGAAAAAGCTTATTTAATAAGTTCTAGGGAAAATAACATTGCTTTGATATTTTCATGAAATTTATTTATTTATTTATTTATTATTATGATTATTATTATTATTTTGTGTGTGTGTGTGTGCAGTGAAGTGAAAATATGGCCTCTTACAAATATATTAGAAGTATGCTGTATAAAGAAAACTCTAGAATAATTCAAAAGTTAACTTTCTAATTTGTATTTGAAAACAACTTTCTAATTCTAACTGAAAAAGCTTTCTAATTTGTAAATAATTTCGGAAATTATTGCCTAATACAGTCAAAAGTCGTTAATCCGGACTCGTCGGGACTTCGGCGACTCTGGATTATCGATTTTTCCGGATTATAGATCATCAGTTTAAATCTCGTAAGATGGCATGCAGAAATTCTAAAATTAAAAATATGAAACCGTAATTTATGAAATAAAGAACAATTATGATCTAAAGGGTATCAAAATTTACAAAAAAAAGCTTAATATTTATTTGTTTACTTTATTAAACATTTCTTTCAATGTAAGTTGTTTAAGTTGCTTCGTTTTATGTGATAATACTTTCTCTTTAATTCTATAAACAGACATAATTTCTTGTTCAGTTACAAAGTTCCGCTGTTCAAGTCCCGTAATTGCTGTGCTGAGAATACCGACTAACTTGTCATTCGAAATTTTTTCGTTTTCACTAACCTCTCTGTCACCTTCTTCATGTCTTTATCCATTTTTTGAAGCAATTCCACTTTGTTTGATGGACATCGAAACATACTTTCGTTTTGTAGATCATTTGGGAGCTCCAGCATCGAAAATTCTATTTGATATAATCGAAAGTTCAAGTTTACGTTTATAGTATTGCTCTTATAGTCTGCAAAAAATAATAAGCCGGATCCAGTTCGAAAATTAAGGAACAACACAATCATCAACATTAACTGAAATAGATAATTAGATAATTTTAGCTTATTCCGTCCTGGTGTACATAAAATGCGCACGCCAAAACGTATTTCTGCACTTGCGCACACGCATATGCGCAGACATAAAAGGTCTTACGCGCACGCGTAAACGCCTATGCGCATGTGTCAACACGGCGCATGCGCAGAAAGTTTTTAGCTTTGAGGCCCGGATTATAGATCATTCCGGATTTTGGGTGTCCGAATTAACGACTTTTGACTGTATTGAGTTTGGATAATGAATATGATGTGATACTTGTTAATATGTATGAACCAGTTATACAGCTGCCATTTTGTGTCTTGCTTGAATTTTTCACATGGGAAGTAAGACATAATAAATCTTGAATTATGCTAGAATCTTTCTAAAAAACCTGTATTTGTACCTTGGTTTGTAAAAAGGGTGAATGAACCACAGATTTGAGGTAGCTGAACTGTGAATGGCCTGCTATTTCTTCATTCCAGATGACCCAAGCAGGCCAGTGACTTTAAGCAGTGAATTGTAATTACTTTTTTTATGTTGAATTTGACCACCTTTATCTCAACAGTGCTGTAAGCAAACTGTTAAAAACATTCAGCCAAGTGGGGTATAACACATATAACATGACTATAGGGCGTACAGAAACTGAAACAGACTGACAATCATTGCAGTTATGGTTGCTAAAGAGTCTTTGATGTTTGCATTAGAAATCCTTGGAAACATATCTTCCAAATTTGAGCTGTAAGGATAAAGTTCGTACGGCCTTTTAGAGGTCTTAAGGGTTTTTTTTTTTTTTTTTTTTTTTTGAAAAGTCCTTAATTTCGGTCAAAATCGGCAGAAGGTCCTTAATTTTAATCATCTGAAATTTCTGCCTGTTTTTACGACTACCATTTTGAGTGTGAATTAGCATTTTGGATGAATATTTTTTATTTATTAATAGGCAATATGTACATAATATTGACTGATAAATAGGTGAATGGGTTATAATTTGTTCCTATTTCTAATTGAGATACTTGAGATTCTGGTCAAAAAGTAAAACATAAGCACTTCGAATTTATTTAATTTTTTCTAATGAAGAGCTCTTAAACAACTTTCCGCTTTTGATGATGTGAATTCTTTTATTAAATGATTCTAAATTTCGCGATGTATCAACATTTTGCTGATTTTAAGATCAGTTTCTATAGAATTTTTTTTTTAAACATTTTAATGCTGAAAATCATTAAAATAATGGTAACATATTGGAATTGTATTTAAGAAATAAAATTTAAGTGAAACATTTTTATTTTTCGCTGCAATATTATAGAGATATTAATTTCAATTTTGGTGACTTATTATGCAATATCTTGAATCTGAAAAATAAATTAATTAAATAAAGCACAATTAATGGAATAATTCTTAGCAAAAGCAAAATAGCTCTGTAATTAAATAAAAAATCTTCTTAATTTTTTTCGAGGGTAAGAGTTTTTCCCGTACAGTTGTTTCAGAATATGCATCATTTTTCTGTATAAAATGATTTTGCACATTTTACTCTCTTTTTTTTTGCCCTCTCAATATTTCTGGCATTTTGCTGTTACAAGATTGGTAGGGATAATTTTTCTGTAAAATTTAAGGCTTGGGAGGTAAAGAAAGATTTCAAGGCAATATTTATATACCCAAAATTTTAGAATATTCCAGAAAAATGTGACAAAATGAAAAAAGTCTTCATGGTATTAATATGTAATGGTTGTACTTTATTGAAAGTTTGTGGTGAATTTCTTATTGTTTGGAGAATTTTTGGAGGAACATTGAAAACATAATATTTAAATGTTTTATTTCTGACACTAGAAGTCTTTCTTTAACATGTTTTTCTTTTCTCTACTTTTCACTAGACAAATGCATGGAAGATATCTAAAATGCTTGTAATCTTATCACATGAACAGACATTTACAGAAAGGAATATTTCTATTTATAAAGAAATTGAAAACTGACAATTTAAAAGATTTGTTTTGCATGTCTCAACTGATCATACACAGGTCTGGCACTAGGCCTTTTTCCACCTGATGCAATCTCTGTGGATACTAAGTTCTGCTACAGAGTGCCTTCCTATATTTTGTTCTCAGTGTTTGTCCTAAATTCTAAAAGTTTTGCTATTTCTAGATTTTTTGCTCGTTGGGTCTCTAAATTCTAAAAATTCATCCGTATTGCTCCTTAACTGAGCCTTACCATGTATCATATCATATTTATTCTGAATGTTCATATTAATAAAGAAATAAAATTAGCAGCTTTTTCTGTGCATTTAGTTTTTAAAATTCTTAAAAATAAATTAAATCTTTAAATCTAAAAAGCAGGAGGGATGTATTTCGAAGAATATTGAATAATTGTACGAATTGGTTAAATAAATTTCTTTAAAAAAAATGGTTGCATGCATTTAGTTTTTTTAGAATAACAGAAATCTTTAATTAAATCCAAAAATTTTAAAATGAAAAGGAAGCGTGTTGAAGAAAGAAACCGAATACATACAGAGAAAGAATATTATTCTTCAAATACAGTCAAAAGTCGTTAATTCGGACACTCATAATCCGGACCTCAAAGCTAAAAACTTTCTGCGCATGCGCTGCGTTGGCACATGCGCACAGGCGTTTTACGCGTGCGCGTAAGACCTTGACTACTGCGCATATGCGTGTGCACAAGTGCAGAATACGTTTTCGCCTGCGCATTTAATGTATAACGGAAGGTGTAAGCTAAAATTATCTAATTATCTATTTCAGTTAATGTTAATGATTGCGTTGTTCCTTAATTTCGAATTGGATCCCGCTTATTATTTTTTGCAGACTGTAAGAGCAATTTTATAAAAGTAAACTTGAACTTTCGATTATGTCAAATAGAATTTCCGATGCTGGAACTTCCAAAGGATCTACAAAACGAAAGTACGTTTCGATATCCAACAAACAAAAAGTTGAATTGCTGCAAAAGATGGATAAAGACATGAAGAATGTGACAGAGAGGTTAGTGAAAACGGAAAAATTTCGATTGACAAGTTAGTCGGTATTCTCGGCACGGCAATTAACGGGACTTGGAATTGTGGGACTTGAACAGCGGAACTTTGTAACTGAACAAGAAATTATGTCTTTTTATAGAATTAAAGAGAAAGTGTTATCACATAAAACGAAGCAACTTAAACAACTACATTGAGAGAAATTTTTAATAAAGTGTAACAAATAAATATTAAGCTTTTTTTTTTTTGTAAATTTTGATACCCTTTAGATCATAATTGTTCTTTATTTCATAAATTACGATTTCGTATTTTTAATTTTAGAATTTCTGCATGCCATCTTACGAGATTTAAACTGATGATCGATAATCCGGAATCGCCGAAGTCCCGACGAGTCCGGATTAACGACTTTTGACTGTATATATACAGGTGTTATTATGTAAATTACCCAGTTGTTTATAATTTCAGCTTTTACTATAATTTCCCATTTCTATTTCCTCTCCAGAATGCAAATCATTTAGGCAGTTTTTAAACTGAGGTTTTTGGTGTGTAAGACAGAAATGTGTTTCTAATCTCCGCTTGCTCACTGCATTAGTTCCTGCCAGCTCTGATAGTTTGTAACTTTTTGTCTTTGCATTATCGCTGCTGACATTTGAATTTGTTATGACGATAGAATTACTGAGCCATCTTAAATTAAAATTAAATTGTATGGTCTTTGACCACTAGTCCACATTTCTTTGTTTGAATTTGCTTGTTCTTGTTTAATTACATCACCACAAACTGCAATTGAATTAGTTAGCATAATAACATGCATTTAAATTCTTTTTAAATAAGAGGCTTATTTAAACCTTTGTCTGACTTTGTAGTTACTGTGAGACATAGCGATAACTTTCTTCACATCTGTCGAGAGTTTTTGGACTAACAGTTTGCATTGCTCTACAGTCTAAAAAAAAAAAAAAAAAAAAAAAGCCAGGTCCAATTAGAAGACTAACGAACAATGCAATCTGCAACATAAACTGAAATAAATAATTAGATAATTTTAGCTTAGCTTTTATATTGCGTTATACATTTAATGAGCATGCGTAAAGCTATTCTGCGTATGCATAAACTGTTGGAAAATATGACCTATTGTAACCCTTTTTCTGCATCATCTCTCCTCCTTGAAATGATTCTAACTTTTATATAAGGCTTAGTTCTTATTTTTAAAGGGATATAGTAATTACTTCTACTTCATTTTTCACTGCCACTGTTTGTATTAAGAACGGACTGTTCCAGCCTAATTAAGATGCAAAAACGAAACTTGATGTTACGTCATCTGGAAAGCTGAGTCGTGCCGATAGCTGATTGGTTGCCGTGAGATGACGTCATGTATACTTCAGGTATAAGTATCTCGCGTCGCTTTGGCTCATTCCTTCTGGTTCCTGTTTCTTTGCACCTTGGCGTGTCATTCCAGACCCCATTGGAAAGACGATGTTGCGATGCATGCCAGCCAGCGACTAGTGCCGTGGTTCCAGTCCAAAATGATGCAAAAGCAAAGTTTAAAGTTGTAAAAGAACATTTAGCAAAAGTAGCAATAGAAGCTCCCTAAGGTTATGTACTGTGCGGACATTGAAGACAAAAGTTTTAAACTTAACCAATTTATTAACAATATATAAAAATAAAAACACAATGAATAAATTTAATCAATATCAGAAACTTAAAGAATAAAACAAATTACAAAAATTATACAAAAAGTTATAAAATTGAAAAAGAATTACAGTTTGATCATGGTATGCAGATTTCTGTTAAAAACCTGACAGGTTTGAGCTAAGCAATTATGATGAGCCTGTTAGTTTAATTACTACCTCAGAAATTAAAAGGTATTGAACATGAAATCTTATATTTAAAATCACCCATTTAAAAAGGAAAATTGCTAAGAAAAAAATTACTATATTTTTCAACACAAGTTAATGCCACAGGGAGATTTGTGCATTAATTAAAGAAAAGATTAAATTATGCAAGGGGTTGTTGTACATTTATTTCACTGAATAGCTTGTGCTACAAACCTTGCAAACAAATAAAAAATATTTCTTTTGATAAACTACAAAAACATTTTTCTGCACAACAAAAGTAAACTGAGACCTTATTTTTTATGGGTATGAAATAATGATAATACATATTCATTTTTTACACATATGTTTTGTAATATCTTTTCATATTATTTAAATAAAATAAAAATACATATGGTTTAACAGCATGCTTTGCCTATAGAGTAAGTTACTAGGGCAAAAAAGAACTGCAGGCAATTCAGTAAATTAGATCCCTAGGATGTTTGGAATTATGCTATACTTTTTAAATGGTTTCAATTAATGTTGTTTTAACATATTAAAACATAAGCTTGTAATAATAAGTGAGGTTATCTTCATGTGTATTTGAAAAGTTTTTAAGTGAAATTAATGGAATCTAATGGAAAAAAAAAAATTGCTTTTTTTATGTATTTCTCTATCAAATTATTTTGCTTGTATAGTATTTTTGAGAAGTGTTCCTAAACATGTATGTCATGTTGTTTTTTACATTGCATAGTTTATTTTTTCATTCTATTGAAGTTGACATAAATTTCCTCTTAGGCCAAGATATGAAGCCCTATGTACTTATGGTTTTAACACAATTGATAAGTATCATTAATCGTCCTAATACGCCAAAAACTTTACTTGAAAATACAGGTATGGATAAGATACTTTTTTACTATTCATTGAAATGTGTTTAACAATTAAAAATTTGAATCATTATTATCAAAACATTTTTTATATCTATTAACTTAATTGATTTAAAAGTTGTTTGTAAGCTTTGAATATTTTATTTGCCTTTAAATTTTCTTATAGGTTATATAATGTAACTGCATTAACACAGTCTCCTAATGTGTATAAATTTGCTTTTTTTTTTTTTTTTTTTTTTTTTTTTAATTGCTGCCACTCTTTTTTTTCTTTTTGGGGGGTCAAATAATTTTCCCTTTTTATGCTGTATATGAAGCATCATGTACTTATGGTTGTAGCAGTTAAAGTATTATATTTATGTAAGGCAAAAACGTTTTCTGTGAATTATGCAGCTTTCCATATGTTTTTGTTTATTAAGAATCAGAGTAAATTTTACTACATTAAAATCTTGCATATTATCCATTAAACTCTTGCCTTATTGATTGGTTGGCTTTTATTTATTTCATAATTTGTATGTAATTTACTTGCATTACTTATATAATTCATATGTAGTAGACTTACTGATGAAGATAAAGCATAATATATTATAAATTGCTTCATTAGTTAGATATTTAAAATTAAGTTTTGCATCAACATTTTTATGTTCTCACTTTTTTGTTTTTAAGCCTATCATTCCTGAGCTTAGTGAAAGTAAATATAGTTGAATAAATTCAGTAAATAAGCTAAAAGATTCTATAAATTGTGCTTTTCAAACAATACTGATAAGTCTGTGAACAAGAAGCACTTGAAGAATTTGAATATTTAAAGTTTCTTGTAAAAGAAAAAAGAAATAAAATAAAGGAAGCAATAAAATTCCCAGTTCTCTTGCATCGACATAAACCAATGCCTACAGATGCCAGCATTGCTTCAATTATATGCAGCACCAATATATATCATAAACTTGCATTGCTAAGGAAAAGGGGTAGCATTATGTTATTTCATGCCATAATTTGAAAAGCACAGCATTACTTCATTTGTACTTCGTTTTGAAATCGGTTTACTAATCATTTATTAGTGAATGCATTATTAAAATCGTTAAATTGCTGTATATTAGACTCGATAACACTACAGTCTTGAAGGCTAGCTCTCCGGAATCTATTTAAAGCTACTAGAACTCTTTAAATTAAGTTAATAATTAAAAAATCTCAGCTGATTGAAGTAGTTTTTAATCAGTAAATGTAAGTTAAAACAATTTTTAAATATTATATGGTCACACAATCACAGAATTGAATTTTGTAAATATATAAGCAAGAATTTCACAGGCTGGGTGAATGAATATAAATGTTTGATTTTAATTCATTATAATTTATTGAACGATGTAAATTCAAGTAATTATAAATTGATACAGCCTAAATTACTTGAAATATCAGAGTGACTTAAAGAACTGCTGTTGTTGAACACTATTTTGTTTATATACATACAATAACGGCAATATCAAATGCAGTTTTTAATACAGTTTGAAGTATGTTTATAGTTGTTATTGCCTTGTCTGCTTATACAACTTTCATGTAATGTAATATTGCAAGAGTCGACATTTGTTCTTATTCTAGGTTGCATAGACAACCATATTATAGTGTGACAGTATTTTTTTAAGAATCTCTTATATGCATAAATATAATAGTGCCAAACCTCTTCCCCTTTAAAAAACTGAATAAAAACAGTAGCTTAGCTACAGCATTTGGAATTTCTACATTATGTTCTAAAATAGGATCAAATTTCAGACTATCTGATATCAAACTTAGGAATTTTAGTCAGCCGTGCTCAGAAATGTGAGAAAAATTAACTGCTGCTAAGCGTTGGATTTTTATTGATAATACAATTAAACTTTCCTCAGGTGTAGTTTTTTTATATTATGTAATGGCTCAGATAATACTGGATATGAGCTGAAAATTGATCAGGCAGTTCAAATTATAGCTATCACTTTAGGTGATTAGATGATGTGACATATTTTTTTGTCAGTGTAAAATTATAGATTTCTAGTTCTATTAAAACTATTTACATGGCAAAAATTGCAAATGCATTCTCCTGAGTAAAACTTATATGCATACGCAGGGAATACACTCATTTATTTTTGTAATTTTTGACATTTGCATGCTTAATCTGAGATCATGAAACTATTTTAAATAAGTAGATTTAAGTAAAATTTTACAAATAAATATATCATAAAGTTAAAATGTTAAACCAGTTTATGTTTAAAACTGAATAATTATTTTTCGTGCTATAATTTAAAAGGTTTAAAACTGGGTTACTGAATATATGCCAGGGACCTAGTTCAGGAATATAATAATAAGTATTATTAAATATTTGATAACAAAATTTCATTTGCTGAATTTTCATTTGATATGTAGCAAAAATTAATTATGTATCTATTACAGTTAAGAAAATAGTAAGAAAGGAAGTAGGCATATGTATTGCTCTAATGTTTTAATCTGGCTAAATAATTTTCAGATAATTGAAGTTACATAAAAATAACCCAGTTTAAAAATGAAAGTTTGTATAATGTGATTGAATTGAATCATACCAGCTAATGAATAGATTTTATAAACTTAACCATGTTAAGAGCTAATAAATGATTTATTTTAGTCTGAATTTTTTATATTTGAGCCAGGTGATTTTGCTTCATATTTTATTGATTGTTAGGTTAACATAAGTTCTTCACTAAGAAATTAATTTATATGTTGTTCCTGTCTGTACTTATTTCAAACAATAATCTAACGGTGTTCAAAGTTATCTTTATATGCATAAAAATACTGATATTTCATGAAGTTACCATCTAGTCTGTTTTTTTTTTTTCATAGAATCGGTAAAAAGGAAACTTTTATTATTATACAATCTAATCGTCTTTTCAGTAGCTGTAGGTAGTAGTATGGCATTATCCAGAGTTCAAGTTGGTGTTTTATACTCGAAGCATGTTTCCCATAGATTTCTGCAGTTTGTAATTTGATTTCAAAACAATTTTTTTTTTTTTTTTTTTTTTTTTTTTTTTGTACAAAAATACCTTTTTTGAATACATGCTCTGAAAATCTGATAAGGAGCTGGGATAGAAGCCATAAAGGTTAAACAAAGCTTTTCTAAATCAGTTTCTGTCCATTATACTGCAACAAGAATTAGAATGCTAGGCAGTGAATTTTAGAGGTTGCAGCAGTCAGTGGAATTTTAGTGTGATGCAAATTGTATATGTATATATATATATATATATATATATTAAAAAAAATAAAAAACGGTAAGGACTTTATGTAAAAAAAATAGTGATTTGCATTTCGTTGATCTTGCTAGAAGATCAACGATCAGTTCGGCCTGAACTGATGCCAAAGACGTCAAAATTGTGATCTGCACAATGGGCCATTTCTGTCTTCAGTGATGAGTCAAAGTTCATTTTAATAACTAATTCTAAATGTGTTTATATCTGGTAGGAGACAATATCTGGTGGGGTGCAACATAATGATTTGAGGATAATAATTATCAGTAAAACAATTTTTTAAGTTTTTTAAGGGTGCATTTGAATCCCTATTTGAATAAATAAGTCCACATCTAGCATATTTGGTTATTGAATTTCTTGAAACCAAAGACAGTGAATGATTCATCTGGCTATCTAAATCTTCTGATTTGAATCTTGAAGAAAAATTTGAAATACCTTTGAAAGAACAATTGGTTAGGAAAGTTCTCTTTTTGAATATCCTGTATATTTTCAAGGTTGTATTTTTGTTAAAGTGAAACCTTTTTTTTTGGGGGGGGGTGTTGTTAAGGATGGGGTTTGGGTTTTTTGAGAAGGAGGGGGGAGATTGTATGGGTGTTCAAGGATATATTCTCTGTGTCAAAACTTTCTTTTTTGTTGCTGAGAGGCATTTCTGCTTTTGTTTCTGAGGTATTTTTTCCTGAAATTTTATTCTTGTGGTCAAACTTCATTGACTAGTTACTGAACATAATTTAATTGTATGTAGTTATTAGTACTTGATTGCATTAGTACTTGATGTTTAATTGTCATTTGTCTATGTGTTACTATGAACACTTCTAAAAAATTCATTTAGTTATATTCTACAGTTTCGAACAATTAGTATTTTTGTGCATATAGAGGTAATCCAATAACCGCAAACTAATTTCATAATATATTAGTATATGAATTTTTTATTTGTATTTTTGGTACTTAGTGATTGTCTAAAAATTAAGTGGGATTTATGATGAAAATTAGTTATGTGTTACCCAATCATTTATCTTTCCAATCATTTAACTACCAAGCTATATTGTTCATAGGAAAGTTCACTCCCATTTGTAAAGTGTTTAGTGAAAAACATTGTAGTAATCATATTTGTTAGCATGATGTAGATTTTCATAGGCAAGTCTAATAGTGCTTTTTTTTTAAATTTATTTTTGTGGTTGTTAAAATGTTTTTAAAAATTTTTGTTTAGAATTTTTTGTGAAGTCCTTAATTAGTATATCCCCTGTATATAATTTGTCTAGTAGTTTCAAACTGTGCACCCTTGCAATTTTACCTTTTAACATAATTTTGGTTTGTTTTATTTAAATTTGTAGTAGAAATTTAATTAAGATAAACTTTTCGTTGTCTTATACTGTTATGAACAAGAAATGTCCTTTTCTTAAATATTTGGCACTTTTTATTTATTGATTTATGTTAATTGAGCCAGAACGTGTAGAACTGAAAATGTTGATAAAAATGAAAAATATTAATTTTAGTGCGTGGTTTATATATATGATATGTAGAATGTCAAAATGCATTTGCTGTAAGAAATTCATAATTCAACCTTTGTTTTTAAATCATTTGATGCCACTGTTTAATATTTAATATCAAAACAGTTGTGCACAAATTTTGAAAATAAAATAAAATTCATATATTTGAAAAATTCAGTATTCAATGGTAGTTATTATTTGCAGCATTTTTCTGTGTTAGTATTGGCTAAGAAAGTTTTCTCTGGTGTACTGTATATTGCATGCAGAAAATGAGCAACACTGCC